TTTTTTTAAACGTGCAACTGTTCTTTTCTTGCTTCTGACCTTGGATATTTATTACATGCACGAGTCTATATGTTCAATTTTGGAGCTAATGCCTCTAGGCCGTAGCCTAGTACAGAGCAGTATGTTCTACACAAAACACATGCTCACTCAAACTTATAGCAGTTTTTACCTATACACTTTTACACTGAACTCCACTGATAAGAACCTTTCTTAAAATCGTAGGCTTAATAGGTTCTTATGTGGAGGGGTCTTAAGGAGGCTCTGCGCATTGAAACGGTTACAACTTCGTCTTGAATAACTCGATCTGTAAGCGCTTTTCATACAATATCAGGGAAGGATTAAAGGTTTCAAAAATGAAAAATTAGTTTAAAGCGGCCTTTTCATTATGACATTGTAACATTATATGATATTGTGTGACAATGCATCTTTCTTTAACTAGTTACGTTATAGTTAATCACATGATTGTAATCGTATATATATACACATGTATGCCAGATATATATCAGCTCGCGTACTGATCAATACATGCAGTATAGAGTCAAGATAAAACAAATAAATCGAGACATAACCAACCGAAGACTATCACAGACATAACTAACGTTTTCGCACGATTTGAGGTTCAGAGCCCATGAAAATATTGAGCATTGAATATTTAGTGCATGGATCACACAACAATTGGTTCTATGTAGCACAAGAATTTGGAGTTGGCGTGAAATGTGTTTCTTGTTGACTACTAAACCAAAATAACGGGGCCACAATAGCGGGGGTTTTAACAGTGAATGTGCCCCCGACTACCGGGGAAAATGTCTGATTTTAACACCACTCAAATGTTAAATTCCCCGGTATTTCGCGGGTGTCGGGGGGTGGGGGTTTCAATTGACTAGTGCACAATTGTTTTAGTAGAATTAATAGAAAATTTCACATCTAATTTTAACATTTTTTTCTTATTGCCGTTAGATATTTTACACCCTGAGTGTACAACATGAATCCGAAGTTGCTCCTTCTTGGCGCGTTGTTGTTTTTTTCCCTGCAGCCTCAAGATGCT